TGTTCCAACAACATGGTGCCCCACCACATTACGCATTACGTGTTCGACAATATTTAGATCAGACGTTTCCAGATCGATGGATTGGTAGAAGAGGTGCCATTGAATGGCCCCAAAGATCGCCAGATTTATCACCTTTGGATTTCTTTATGTGGGGTCATTTAAAAACCAAAATCTATGCAACTCAGCCAATATCATTAGAGGACCTGCGACAAAGAATTGTGAATGAGTGCCTACAAATTACTCCTCAAATATTGCAAAATGTGCGACAACGTTTTGAGCAAAATCTTTATTATTGCATGGAGAGTCATGGTGGCCATTTTCAACATTTACTTGCCTAACGGGTCAGTTCATTCTTCATTTTTAAATTACTTTGCTGCCGAATGTATTGATCTCCACTAATGATGATTTATAAGTTTTATTTAAGCTTTAAATCAATAAATCTTCAAAACCACTGAACTGAAGTACATTAATTTTATATCATTATAAGGGGAATTGAAATACCTTTAAAATAAGATATCACTCGACCCCCCTTACCATTTAAGATTTTGGGGGTGGTGTCACCCCCGCTTAGGGGGCTGCACGTGCTAACGTGATTTTTTTGCCAAACTTGTGACCCCCTCGAAAACAAAATCGACGGGTCTAAGCGTTTAAAAAAAACTGAGCTGCCAGTAAATGCGTCTGTTTCGTTTTCGATGCGCCACCCTGTATGTATTTACATACCTTGTAAAAATAGCATGACTTACTGAGGTATTTGGGAAAAAATAAAATTTGACCAAATCGTTTCGTTGCTTTTTCTGACTTTACTTTAAAAAATATCAAAAAAACTAATGAAACCCTTTCATTGGTACTTTTTAGGCACTACATTGTGGTGTTTTTATATTTTTGAAAACACAACATCAACTTTATTTTTTATATGATCCGAAAAGTACACACTTTTTGTACGAATTCAACGACGTATCACATTGTTTTCTTAGTTATACAGAAAAATGTTTTTTTTATTTTATTCAAGTATTCGTTGTGAACAAAAAATGCCTAAGACTATGTGATTACTGATAAGTGTATTTGTATATTATACATATTACATAATGATATGATGGGGTAATATTTTATGAAATGATTCTTGACCTATTCGTATCCAGAATAATGAATACATTATTTGTAACATTATTTTTATTTTATTCAACATAGGTGTTCAAATAGGTTGCTATTATTTTCTAAACATGAATATGACCTAACAGTAGAATTCAATACATCATGTAACATTTCTGTTGTAATTATACTAAATGCAAAATTACACATTCCCGTAACTGCTGCTCAATTTCAAAAGTATGTCGATGAACTTGGTTTTTGATAAAAACCCAAGCAAGAGTCCAGAGGAATTAAATATGGGGAACGCGCTAGTCAGGACACTGGCGGTTGCAATCCACCTTCCGGCAAAGGGAAATTTTCCAGGCTGTCTGCAGTATCCTGTTGCAACAATTGAAGGTACCTTTCTGCAGTTAATGAATTAATTAAATATACTAAGTGACATATAAATCCGAACACCCAGTTTAAATGGTTTTATTTTAATAAAAGTTGGTGAATGTATTTATCTTACTGTAAATAACAAGTGAAAAAATTTTCAGCCTTATCAGTTGGACATTCCGGTTTTTATACTGCTTTTGCCAGAAACTGAACCTTAAGTTCTTCGTTTGTACTTAGTTCAGTCAGTTCCTCTTGTATTATGACATTCGTTTCTTCTATGTCACCATATGGATTTATTATCCACGGTGGTATTACCGTAGTCAAAATATCCTCAAACCTAGATTCAAAATCTGAATAGAGAGCATTTAAATGTTGAACGTAAGTTGAAACGTCGCGTCGTCTTCCTGGCAGCTTGTCTGTGACAAATTGGGGAACTGAGAAAATTCGCCCCGTCCAATATTTTGCTTCATTAGTTTAACTCTGGCAAGAAACGCTGATAAGATGGACTTTGTTTTAATCAAATTTAAACTGTCGCCTTGTAATTGCAAATTAACCATATTAAATTTTGTAAACAAATCTGTTAAATAGGCGATGTCTGTTTTCCTCTTCATTAAATTTTCTTTTAAAATTTTATCTTTAGTATCCTGAATTTCTAAAATAGTCTCAAAAAGTGCAAACAATCTTGTCAAACATAAGCCTTTCGACAGCCAGCGTACTTCAGTGTGAAGGAGTAATTGATGAAAGTGTTCGTCATTTTTTTCACACAACTGCGCAAATAACCACGTATTCAACGCGTTCCTTCGGATTCGGTTTACTGCATCAATGACTAAAAGAATGAACACTCAAATTTTTAGCAGCTAAATGTTGTCGATGGATGACGCAATGTATTGCTAACACCCCTGACACATTTTGTTTTAAATAGCTTATAAATCCACGATAACGTCCAACCATGGCAGGTGCTCCATCTGTAGCTACTGATATTATATTTGATAAAGGAATTGCTTTTTCAATGAAGTAATCCTTCAAAACATGAAATATTGATTCACCTTTATTGTCGGTTATCAAAGTTCTTGCGAAGAGCAGTTTTTCGTAGATTTCTTGATTCATAATAAAACGAACATATGCCAATAATAATGCTGCATTATCAGGTAAAGTTAACTCGTCCAGTTGTATAGAGAAATGAGTCGTTTGCAAATAATTACATAAGAAGCTTTCAATATCAGAACTCATTTCATCAATACGTCTTTCAACAGTATTGTTGCTTAAGGGAATTCTTTTAATGATATCAGATGCAGGTTTGTGTAAAACAGTTTTTAAAACCTCTTCAACGGCTGTCAAAATTAACTTCTCTCCGATAGTATGCGGTTTTCCAGATTTTGCTATAAGTAACGAGATATTGTAAGACGCCCGCAAACCATCATCATTTCTTTGTGACGTCTAAGCGAACATTCTGTCCAGTGTAGGTCTCTTCTGAAATTTATCTTTGAGTGTTTGAAAGTATTTCAAATCTTTCTCTGTTTTATCAGGGTGGCATCTTCTCAGATGATCTTGCAGTTTAGATGGTTTCATAGCGTCATTACCCAAAACTTTGTTGCATAAAAGGCACATAGGCGATTGTTTGTCCGGCAATGATGGAATGAAGCCAAATTTCAAATAATCAACACTGTACTGTCTACATTTCTTTTTAGATTCAGACATGGCATCAGTCATCTGTGGGCAAAATTAAATTATTTAAATAAGGCAGAAAATCCAGCAGCTCTATTTAGAAATATTTTT